CTACCATTCCATTGTGAAGTCTACGATAACATGGTTGTGACCACATGTGTATAACCAATTTCCGAACCCATGATTATAAATTGCAACGTTGTCTTCTACTTTATACCCACATACTGACATGAAACCTTGCTTACCTGTACGGCTAGGCCAACAAGTCCAGGAAGAAAAACGAAAAAAAAAGGACGAAAACATACCAACATCTCATTAGATCAACAAGATTAGTTTATAAGACCATATAAATAGATGCGTTCAATTGAACGCGAAAGAAAACGAACTGCATAGTTTATTTAATAGGCACCGACACACAGTTCGCGCACTCAGCACATGTATGGAGTAGGCACAATTTCGTATGACGGCCTTTTCGAACCAAATGCCTAATTCTTCGTGGGTGCAGTTTTTCGATGCGAAGGATCCACTACTCCATCGTGCTTGCATTATTATTAACTCGTCATCCTTGAAGACCCAAAAAATTGACGATCTACGTCAATTCACATTAACATTTAACACCTGTGAGGCATTTTATACAATGCATTCGATGCGAAAATATCAGCACAACGACGCTGAGATATTTGCAAAAATCCGGACCGCAGGTGTCTACGGTGGGGAAAACACTCTTACCCTTTCTGGGAGCTGACGCGTTCACCACCACACCATGCAGGTCCTTTGTTCCGCCTGTCTCATAGCTAGTTGGCTGATGGAACTGATCGATAGAAAACGAAAGGAAAGGATAGTAGCTCGTTCGTTCCCCACCATAGACAGCTGCGGTCCAGAGTTTTGCAAATATCTCAGCAACGTTGTGGTTGTATTTCGCTTAGTAACCTGCCATGAAAATTATAGAAGGCAGAAAATAAAAAGTTAACATTGCACGGATATCGTTACATAAAATACGTCCAGGCTCTGACGAAGACGAAGTCGCTAGAACGTCGGACATCGAGTCACAACAGCAATGACGATAACAACAGCAACCACAGCAACTGATGCCAATCTCGCGTCAGCTCAACAAGGCAGTTCCGATGCAACAGAGCATTTTCATCAAGTCAACGATGCATTAGAAGTTTAATGAAAAAACCATTGTTTCTTTTGATCACTATGAATTTCATTACCATTTTTCTATTGATTTTTACTACTAAGTTTTATCTTGTACCTTTTCTAACAATAAAGTCAGCGAAGTGTTTAACCTGTATTTCCATAGTGGAACCAGGTGCTGACCATCGATGTTTCTATGCCTCATTCCATCGCCACAGATGCCTTCCTATGCAATTCTATTGCATTTTCATTCATTTTGCCTTTCTCTTTGGTTGACAGAAAACCTATACACGTAAAAGTGTTAGTCAGTCTCGAATATGCTCGCTCCATTCAATGTTGCGATTTATACCAACCTGTCTTTGTGAACTTTAAACGTACGTTCGAAAACAAGATAACAGTGTATTGTACAGGTGTCGCATTAGTTCATATCAACTCCCCATTTTTGACATGTTGTAAAGTTTCGATGTAAATTGCTAATTTTATCGCATTTTTCTTGGGCCACCTTAGTTGTGTTAGCTTTTATGATCACCTCTACTATCACCCGATGTTTTTGGGCAATGGTGATTGGACTTCGTATCAGCAAAGTATGTACTTAGTCGAAGATAGCAAAATACCACACTTTTCGTTCACGATCTTCATGGACTCGCATCAGCATAAAATCGATGGCCCTCTTCACTACACCCAACATCTTGTGCAGCCCAGCAGGGTTCTCGTCATCCTTCGTAGCTATGGAAATTGTCAGAGTAGAAACGCCTTCATTCGTCCACCAAGTCTTTTTCAAATTTCATCACCACTAACTCAGCAACATCTCCACCTGTATCTATGTCCACATTTATTGCACAAGTTCAATGATTTGACTCAATACTTCTGCTGTTTATGTGGCATATAAGGGACCGGCTAGCGCTGTGGTAGTAAGCCCCATCGCTGGGCGCGAGACTCACCTACCCATGCGCTCTGCACCAAGCTCACCAAGCCTCTCATCCCTACGGGTTTAAAGATCTGGTACCACACTTATCCAGAAGAAGCTCATTTCCTCTAATCTAAGTCAGAATACCCCAGCATAGTGCCTGGAAAGGTCAAGTTGACTGCAACCTACACGGCCAAACACTTACATAACCAAACAGAGAAAATGCTGAACCAAAATTTCAATCACATCGAACACAGAGTCTTTGCACACTCACCGCTTTCTATAGGTCTTCCACTAAATATGTCACGTGGAGACCAGCCGCACAGAGTTCACACGGAATCGTAGTGTGCCCATCTCATCAAAATAACAGGCTTATATACTGCCCAATATCACGCGTGATAGTGAGGCATTCCTCCCTGCGGTTCATTTTCAGATACCACAGTGATAACTCTAGCTACAATAAGGTCCCGTTTATATTGTCCTTCATTTAAAATGAAGTAAGTGCACCTATAAAACGCTGTTTAAAAAGGGCCGGTCTAGAGAATTCGGTAACAAGAATTGAAATACCACCGAGTAATCCAAGACGCCAGCTAGTTCGTAACCGCCTATACGACCGTCTATGTGCAACGCAAAATTGCATAATTTGCCCCAATGGTAGAGACGGTGACTGCATGAGCTCGGGTATAGTTTATCTGATCTCCTGTAAGGCGTGCGGAGACGAATACGCTGTCGAAACGGGTAGACCACTCTGCTTACGTATAAAAGAACAGCTAGTCGGCAAACGTAAACCAAATACTCCACTATGCACACATTGGACCTAGAGACATAACGGAGAAAATTTTGAAGTAGGGGTTACGATCCTCGCGCAAGAATCGAGAACACAAGCGCTCAACACTCTGGAGGCATTCTGGATTAATTCCAAGGATTCGAAAATGAACTGCAGGGAGAAATGCCTCATTACCACCCGTGATATTGGGCAGTATACAAGCCTGTTATTTTGATGAGATGGACACAATACGATTCCGTGTGAACTCTGTGCGGTTGGTCTCCACTTGACATATTTAGTGGAAGACTCATAGAAAGCGGTGAGTGTGCAAAGACTCTGTGTTCGATGTGATTGAAATTTTGGTTCAGCATTTTCTCTGTTTAGTTATGGAGGTGTTTGGCCGTGTAGGTTGCAGTCAACTTGACCTTTCCAGGCACTGAGGAAGGCAAATCCACCGAAACGTCAGCTCGTACGTAAATAAAGAAATAAAATAACAGCTCGTGTTTGCTGAACAGAAGCAGAAAGAATTAATAACAATAATAATATGATAGTAATAATAGTAATAATAGTAATAATATATTGTGGAATATTTTGGCCGAATGCGACTCTACCCCTAAAAGCACATGCCTCTTCTTAGCACGAAAGTTACCAAGGGGTCTCTCTTGTAAATTCTGCTGTGCAATTTGGGTCTGGATTAATCCCGTAAAATTTGTCTTGTCTATCATATGCTGCACTGTCTGCGAAACAGGGGTGGGTTGACAATTCCTCAAATCTGAAAGGACGTTTCATCCTCTTGTCCTTATCTGTTCGTTACCTTCACACGCAGATCCTGAATATCAGGCATCAATAACCGACTACATAAAAATATGCGGTTCTTCTCACTGTTGAGCACTTGATCCACTGCAGTCTGACTGTCAGCGCTGGATCCACTGGTCAATGCGACACCATTGTTCGACCACTCACCGTATGCCTCTGACCTTTCACTCATCCTTCGCCGATACGACTAATGCTCCAAAATTCGCGACCAGTAACACTCAACGGATGATTCTATATATTGCCAATCGAGTACCTGAAGTACCCTCTACGATCGCATTTTTTTTGGGTGATTTATTTTGATACAGAGAACCTGCTTGCCTCACATTATGTATTCATTCGATAGCTTATCGAAAACAGATCACTGTAGCATGAATAGGACCAGAATACCCCAAACACTTAGCGGCTTACTAAAAATTCCCTTACGGGTAAGTCCGTTGGCCGGCGATCTCATTGGTCATTAGCTATTACTACACTTCCTATCATGAACCTTGGTTACTACCTTGAATGAGCGGGTATAAAAATTACAGAAGTAGACTCAACGTAAACTGCATGAAACTTTAAAATCCTGACAACCCTCTTTCCCACACACAAAAACGGGATCCACAACACGGCATCCTCCTATTATAGCCAGTTGCCCACCTCTACACCTCGGAGTGAGGTCTGCGATTCTGCGAAATTGAAGTTGCTTTCAGTTCGAATTTAACTCCTATCATTAACTTGTTACCTTCGCAACTCCAAGGCCGATTGCTCGTATTACTCCCCTGCTAGGCGAACCTTAGGTAACCTCAGGTACAATCGACTACTATTTCTAGTAGTAAGTGTGCTCCATCCTTGTAGATTGAAGCATTAGAACGCGACTCTACCCACTTTCAGATTTTTGTTCGTTTTATCACAATCATGTCACTGCAAATGCAGACCAGCTAAGATACATTTCTGTGATTTATCGAAACTTCATGCATGTCATACATTTATATTGACGCATCTCGTTCTACGAGGCAAATTCGAATTTTCGAAATGAAGTGATCAAATGAAATGCAACACTACAAAACAATGATTAGTGCGGGAACGTATAACTTTCAGATGCATAAAAGTTAGAAAGAGTTAAAACAGACAGCAGATCTAGGAACATCTTTTATACAGCATTGGCTTTTTTTTTCGAAGATCAACGCAATATGTACATATGTTTTGGAAAGTATTGTTCTGTCTACCCTGACTATTCTACTAACATCTCCAGAGGAATAGAAATATCATGCACATATTAACAGCAAAAATGCTCGCTAAAGGTAACAGCACATGGCGTTACAAACAATGAAAAGGTGACATAAAACGAGTGTAAGAGAAAAGAATGCATTCGAAGCGAAACTGACAGAGGGACCGGGAATAATAAATATATGAGGCGAGGTAGACTCTTCCGAGGGAAAGGCCAAAACAGCGCCGAAGAGGACGAGATTAAACAGAATGCAATAAGAGATCACCGGTAGATCACTAACGGGTACTACGAGTTGGACGCGGACCAGGAGGAGGTGGTGGTGGGACATCTGAAATAGCAGACAGTTCATACAAAAGGGTACGCCTAGAGCAGAGTTCGCAATACCTGCTGCGACACATGGCCGCTGGCCGGATGGAGTCGTCATTTTGGAGGAATGGCGGTAAGTTCCTGCGGTACCTACCAGAAAAATTCTAGACTTGCACAGTATTCGAAAAACGTTTAGGTGATATGAACATACCTACACCGAACTCTTTAGCAAGACGATCAGCCAATGACATCCTTTCTTCGCCAGATTCAGAGCTGGAAGCTATTGACATATCACTAGATGATGCTAACGCGGCACTTGTTGGAGATTCCTTTTGAGTGGGTAATGAAGGAGGTGCTGGTGGAGGAGGAATGCATGACTGAAAACCATACCAGCAGATGATTTGGGAACCAAACCTATATATATGTCACTTCATAATTATGAACATAGCAACTTGCTGAACATCAGGAACCCACTTATCACTACTTTTTAACAAAATCTTTTTTAAAAGTGCGTATCGCATAATAATTCCAAGCATGCTATGCCGTTTCCACTCTTTTAACAATGAGTAGCAAAAATTAAATACGCACCTCTTGAAGTATCATTTTCTTCACTACTTCTAGGTCTGGTGGCACACCTAATGAAGGAATGGGGATATCAGTGTCCAAGGGTGGCAGCACAGGATTCTGCTCCTAAAAGTTATAAATCATTTATAAAACTACACTAAAACTTTCGAATTTTCCTACCACAGGCAAGTCCATAGATGGCATAAAAGAACGAGTTGGTCTGGTCATATTCTCTCCGATGTGATTTTTACGTTCATTGGTGGTAGTTCCCGAAAAGCTTTGTGACGGAACTCTACTCGATGCGTTCCCATGGTCAGAAGAACCCATAGTGTTTCGACGTCTCTTATAGTCTTCCAAACTCAACCGCTTTGCCTAAAGACATGTTTGGACACAGAACCATCTAAAGAATTTAATTCCTTTATGAAATATATAAAGCTATCTTATAAGCGACCTTTTTAACTTCGTTTGTAGATACTATAGGCAACTGCGAAGACGATGGTGTTGTTGAAGTATCAACGGCAACAGTGCCATGTGGTTTGCTGCCATTACGAAGTGACGGCAATGGTAGCGGCTTTTGTATAACTTCCGCCAGTTGGAACTCCGTATTTTCTCCGTCATTAAAATTTGACATGACACAACGCAAAGCCACTTTCCAATGAAAGCGAAAGCCTTCTGCTAAAGAAGTCCGTAGTAGACGTATTTTATAAACGAATATGCTGAAATTAGTACCGCTTTTCCCTCCCATCTGAGCTAATGCTGTAGCAGCAACATGTTCGTCATACCGACAAGCATCGAGTATATGACGTCTCTTCTTTAGTGGGCTGATCTGCAAAAATTATGCTTCGAGTCTCCAAGAACAACTATTAAGAGTGCTACAACATGAGAACCACGAAAATCCATATTCGTACAAAATAGGGACTTCTGCTTGTATGCACGAGTTAAGTCAACATCCAGCTTTCGTTCAAAATCGACTACCTCTTGTACAACACCAATTTCTGAATCAACAACTAACCTGCACCTTAGGTGGCACTGCGGCGATATCACTTGTAGAATCAGCAGCACATGATTGCGGTTCAGAAGTGGCAGATATTTCAGTGGCTTGAAGACTTTCTTCGCTAACGGATTCTGCAGCATGTCGGCGCAACCAAAGTTTCTTGCCCCCAACACTATTAAGATTCACAGAATAGGTAGACCCAATATCCGAAGGACCTGCTGACGTAGTAGATGACGAGGAAGTGACTTCAGGAGATGACGCTCGCTGTGTCACTTCTAAACGATATATTGACATGTTAATGAATTGATAAAAGACAAACAGCTCTGGTTGGAAAACACACCGTTCTCTTTCACAGCTGCAGCCCAGCGTTTCCTTGGTGGCTGAGCTATAGTTGTCACTTCAACAACTTCGTTTTCTTTGGAGTCTTCTCCTAAATATGTTCAAATTACATTTCGGGTTTACAAGATAACATAATAATGAACAAATAGTATTAAGATTAAAACATGCTTTTCTTTTTGCCGCGTGGGCTTTCTCTCGTAGGTTGTTCGACCGCAGCTTCTTGATTCTTCTCTTTCGAAAGCCTCTCTGCGCTGCCCTCAGAAGCTCTCCTCATTCTCCGTTCAAAGCTACTTGTGCTCGTTCTTGATGATCGACCAGTGCCCTGAAATGTCCCACCCCGAAACTATATCAAAGATGTAATGTTTCAAAGCGTAAAATGAAAGGATTAGTGAACACACTTTCTTGTCCTTTAAATTATTTGCATCTTTGTGCGCTTCGGTCTTCTTCTTCTTTTCCTTCTCTTCTTTTTTTTCAAAAGCTGCTACAACAGCCTGTAGTTTCCGTTCTTCTCGACTCTGAAAAAGAATTCGAAATACTGCACAAGCATGAAAAGAATTGTATGCGGAAACAATGCATTTTTGGAAAAGTAAAGCCTACAGGCTTATTTCTATCCTCAGGCAGTGTGTAATCCATCACTTCTTTCAGTTCGATTGCTTCCCTTTTGGGAAAACGACTCGAACCTATGCTGGATCGTTTAGCGCCCAACTGGTGCTCTTCCTGTTAACAACATGACATATTGAAGACAAAATCAGCAATAACCTCTGTAACTCACTTTCTTTGAAGAATAGGGTGCTGTCTTCTTTACGTCAACGATTTTGTTGTTTGATGGTTGAGATAATTCACTTTCAAGTGATTCTTCGTTCTTCTTTTTTACCTCACTGCTTTCCACACTTTCTTTTGATCGTGCAGGAGACGACAATCCAACTTTTGATTTCTGCTCTTCCACGGTATCTATTTCTCTTAATCGCATTTAATTGTAGTTAGGACAACAACTGTTACGTCTGGAAATAGTCCTGATGGTTCACCTTTCATTTTCATGCTCGACAGCGTTACCCTGATCTAACGAATCGTCTGAAGACTTTGTGTTTTTGTTATCAGAATGACGATGAAGACGAATCCTAATCTTTTTCGGCTTCTTATTGCGAGTTCCCTTAATACAAATGTAATTTTTTAAACACATTTAATTACTTGTAAGCCATTTAACCCTTTCGTTAAAACACTTTCGAATGAAACCTTTTTCCGAAGAGTTTCACTGGACTTTTCCTTCTTCCCGCTTCGCTTGGGATGACCACGGCTTTCAATTTTACTTTTTTGCGCAGTAGTTGTCGTTTTTCGACCAGAGGTACTACCATTAGACAGCCGCGTGGATAAACCTTGGCTGCCACGTTCCTAAATTAAAAGACAGATTAAACAACAAACTCTTATGTTTATCAGTGTAACTACACACTTCAAATGAAGTTTTCCCGCGAAGAGAATTGTTGAACTGCCTCATGTAACAGCTAGGATCATCCCCACAAGCGCACTCCACAGGGACGAGAGTGTCGCGGAAGTCGCAATCGAAAGGTATAGTAACCTAAAAAGGTATTGGTTGCGATATAATTCCTCTCAAGTAGAGCGCAAAAGAAACCTCGGTTCCTTTGTCGATCTTTTCCGATGCAACCAACATCACATAAATACATCCATTTAGCAACACGTGCTTGAGTGTTGAATTCGATCGACAGCACCTAGGATGAGACCATAGAAATGGAAAATTTTATAGTATAGCTGGAATATGTTACGAAACTTAAATACGCGGCGTCATTATAACACTACGCTAAAAGCTAAAGCACATATTAAACCACTAGACGTGTAGTGTTCATCATACATTCATGAAATCGCTAATTTTCAGAGCTCTCAGTTGAGTTGAGTTGAGACTTTAGTCAAAGCCAAGCAAATTATGTTGCAAATTACCTTCGAGCGAAGCGAGCATCGCTTCCTTGACGACGAGCATCAATACAGAGCAGGTTTTGACCAAGTCCATTATATAAAACACAAAATGGCTGCAACGCACCGCGCTGCAACCTTCCAGGACACTCATCTGGCAAGCATACATGCCCTACGTATTCCATAATGACATCATCTTGCTTGATGGATTCTGTTGCCACAAGACCTTAAAACAACTTTGGAATACAGAATGAGATATTAACTAATTTTAAAAATTACCTTCAACATCCGGAGCCACGAACATGCGCTTTCCGCGTTTTAGATCACGAGAATTCTCAAGAATACTTTGTGCACCGGCTGTTGTGTCGAACAAAGCTAGCATCTGCTTAGCTCGTTTTGTATACTCGTTACGTCGAATCATCTGGAACTTTTTGAAAGCAGCCAGTCCACGCTTTGTAGTTTTAGCTTGCTGCAAATGTTGAAAATTCAAGACCTTAAGCTTATTCAGAAAGTTGTAACACAAATCTTACATGTGAAATGTAACCTGACTTTCAGAAAGCAAGCAATCTGCTTTAGAAATAGTTATATAAAACAAAAATTTTAGTTTTTGTACATATACCATGATAGCTTACGTTACGCTCTTTCAGGCGGCGATTCAACTTAGCACGCTTCCTCTCCTCTCGTCTTCTCAATTTTTCCAACATCTTTCGTTCCTTTTCCCGTGAAAGAGCTTTTAACTGTTTTATCTAGAATTATACAAAAGCAGCTCAAGAGTTAGAAATGACAAAGTTCAGAGAAAATATGACTCACTTGCAAGTCTTGTGCTTGTTTCTTTGTGTACTTCAACGGTCGAGGCCTACAGCATTCACACAAGTAAGTGTCACTTTGATTAAATTTTTTAGGATCGAGACCCATACACTTCATATGTTGCCAAACGCTTAAACAATATATTTCACATTTTGTTGAAATTTAGAGATGAATTAGAGGATTAGCATAACAACTACATCCACTTATGCCACAATTTGCAAGGAAATACCGCTCTACACATACTTGCACTGCTCACATTCCACCATCCATTCATCGTTGTGCTGCATTTCACACAAACAACGTGTTACATAATCACCCCACTCAACCTCCTGAATATGTAAGTGTTAGCAAGACATGATAAGGTTTTATGTATGTAAACTTCGTGTTGAATTTGAACCAGCTTTGAGCACAATATTAACCTCCACGATCTCCTCCTCATCACTACTTGGATCTGTACTTATATCTGCAAGATCGTCACCTTGGTGAAATCCATTAAGATCTGAAAGCCACTTATTAGAGCAGATATGGAAGCGATCAAAGTCAAATGCAATGATATGACTTCAAATACCTCTTTGTTGGTAGCTTTGGATATTCGCATCATGATCCACAGGAACTTTTTGCGAATGAACATGAGAAGGCGATGCTAAACCGGCATTGCGATACGTTCCACGATTTCGGGAGGCAGTCCCCGCAATGGGAGGTAAGGGAGGAGGCAATTCAGGTGCCATAGAGCCGTCATAGGTCTAAACCAGCAGAGCAATCCCTATTCTAGGCCAGACTTCTACTAGTGGAGAAAGAACAACTAGCAGCATACCGTAGTTGCAGGCGTTGTCCTGACAGAAGAACGCCCAGATGAACGTAATGACTGGCAATCTGGTATTCTTGCTGTACTGGACGGCACATCTGGTATATCATGATATGAAGGCGTCGCACAAGGTGCTGCCACACTAGTACTGCTGCTGCTGCTCAACGATGACCGAGCTCTGCCCTACAATGCGCTCGTCAGCAATGTTGATGGAAAAAACGTACTTCTTTTTTTGGTAGGAATAGCGAATGGAAGTAATATACAACACCACCCTCAAAAATTCCAATGAACTACTTCGGTTACTCGGCAGTAATAACAAACAACGTTCCACAATTTAATAAAATTATAAGAATACATTTCAGATCCAGTCAACAGGTTATTTTTGATGCACCACTCACCGCTCCTTTTGGTCTTCCACGGCTTCTCGGAGAAACTGGAGCAGTGTCGCCTAGTTCTATTTGCTCACCGCCGGTCAAGGGAATTTCGTATCCCGAGACACGACGAACTGAAGACGCGTCGCCCATTGGTCGTCTTTTTTCTCTCACCTGCACCTCTGCCCCTATACGCTTCTTTTCTTCCTCCTGAAACTTGATACATAGAATGTGTCCTTCTCTGAATCAAGAGGATAAAACAAATGACTGGAGCGAATTAAGTCCCACTAAAAATCATATATTCCACGCCCTCATTTTGTATTCTCAAGTTTTTACTCTTGTACATATTAACGGTAACAATCTATGTCCTGAGCACACGCCTGGGCGATTTCGCGACTAATAGCCTCAATCTTCGCCTTGATATCCTCCTCCGAAATATCATTATTGGCCCACTGTGGCTGATTGACATCAGAATGTGCAGAGAGAGACGAAGCAGCTGCTATGGCATCGGTAGACAATGTAGGATTCTAGACATTCAATGATTAGAAATAAAAGCATGTAATGGTTTGGCTTACCTTGCAGGCAACGTCACTGTATTCAGCGCCTCCTTCATCGTCCACAAAATTTTCAGGTAGTGAAGATGTTTCTTGCGCAATGTGGGTTGTCCGCTAAAACTATAACATTTTCTCAACCGTTTTATTTACTGCCTACTTTTTTTTAATGGCAGAGTATATTGCGAAATATAACTTTAGGAAGCTGAGATATTGGTAGAACTCCGGACCGCAGGTGGCTGCGGTGGGGAACGAACGCGCTATTGTCCTTTCCGAGGAGTAACGCGTTCATCCCCACACCATGCGTGTCCTTCGTTTCACCTCCCTCTCAGCTAGTTCTATCGATCTTTGCCACAGCATTCACCCGTCAGCGGGATTGATATGCGGAGCCCAAATCGGCAAGGAACCCAGTTAAGTTCGATAACAACCTAGCTAAAAAAAAGTAGGCAGTAAATAAAACGACTGGCATTGCGATTATAACTAAAGCCCCAGTTTAACTGGGTTCGTTGCCGATTTGGGCTCCCTAGATCAATCCCGCTGATGGGTGAATGCTGTGGCAAATATTGATAGAGCTAGTTGAGAGGGAGGCGAAACGAAGGACACGCATGGTGTAGTGGTGAAGTGCGCTACTCCCCGGAAAGGACAATAGCGCTTTCGTACCCCACCGCAGACACCTGCGGTCCGGAGTTTTGCCAATGTCTCAGCACCATTAAAGTTATAGCATTTTCGTTTAAAATGCCACAACAAGGGTCACTGGTAATAGCCGCATTTTCATAGAACAGACTTATATATTAACCATGTAAAACTGTGTATACCAAAATGATACTACATATGATTGGTCATATGAACTAATCAACTCTAAAAGCCAAAACAGCAAGCTGTTTTCAGGGTCAGAAGAACAAACAAGCTGGGAGCATGTAATTTCATGTCAAAGATCGATAAATTTTTAATGAATATTTCAATAAATATTGCTTTGCGATGCCTGCTTTTCACCCGTAATCTGAAACTATAAACCACTGCTACATTGACTAAAATATTAAACTGTACCGATGATAAATTGTTATCCGTCCCTTCTACAGTAGAACCATGATAAGGTGTCATTGATGCACTCGGTGAACGGACACGAGTCAAGAGGAGCTTTGCAGGGGATTTCACGTTACTTTGATTAGATCCGACATCAGAATCAGTTGACAGTGTATTTGGTTGGCCTCCGTACACTCGAAAAGGTGGTGATGCATCCGTAGAGTGTGGTACCAATGATACACCGTCAGAAAAGTGAACCTTAACAGAAACCAGTTGAACTTCAGTGCCATGTATATGTATATACATGCATGTACATATATACAGGAACGTGGTCACATCTACCTATCCCAAAAACCTGATGAAACATCAGCATACCTGTTTTCTGGGTGATACTGGTGTCGTCTGATTAACATGTGACGGTGTACTCAAGGGAATATAGTGATGCGGAGAATGCGCAGGAGACGCCTCTTCGCCAGAAACACCACTCGAGCCCTCCTTTTTACCACGTCCAGCAGCACTTCCTCCTGCTATCATGCATTACTATATCATATACATATGCGTATAATACATATATACATATGTATATACATATATACGTGCATATATACGCACACATGCGTATGCATATGCATGTGTATATAATATGCATATATACATAAGTATGCAAACATTTACATCACTAAATGTACACATATGGAAAGTGTTAGAAAAACAATGGTGGTTCTTGTTGTACAATCTTTAAAACACCACTGTAATATATTCAAAATATTTTTCTGATATATACTACGTATGTATATACATAAATACTTTTTAATGCATACTGTCCACATTGTTCTGTACTGAGTTTAAAGCTTATATTTTGCTCGACTAACTACCACACGTTAGTTCCTTCTAGCACTTAATTTAAAACGACTCTACGCTGGGTGAAATGTTTTTAAAATAGGAAAAAGGCATCCCCTTGCTTGATGAGTTCGAACTTGGTTAAAAAACGATGTCAGATCTAAATGTCACCAAAATATGTAGCATACATTTGTATAATGCAGAAATAGAAGTTTAAGGCTTCGCACTAAAGACACTTTTATCATTCGAAATGATTATAGAGGCCTATCAACAACTAAAGACAACCATACGAAGCCAGTAATGAATGCTTCCCCTCCAAAAACGACTTTAAAGCTTGTGTGCAAACAATTCTATTTAAAAGACAGTGAAAAGTGTAGTAAACGGCATCGCGGAAATTGAACAAATTACAGCAAAATCGTTGTCATGAAATCCGTCCTCCGTTTCTTCTCCACAACAAAATTCAGTCAATTCCAGACCACAGCCCGACGTAATAAAAGTGCACCTTTCTTCACAGCAGACCATGTCCAATATCAAGACGAAGCCCCTAACCATTACCGAAATCCGAACTAGCATCAAAAATTGTTGTTTCTCGTTTTAGACAAAGGAAATCATGTTACACTACATCTTTGATCTTGGTTAAACGATCACAGCAAATTGCAGTATATCTATCCATACATGGCCAAGAGGAAAAGCCCAATCTCTCACACGAAAATGCTCGAACCATCTACTTTTCCAAGCACCACGAAAATGAAGAACTAAAACAATCTGTGGGAACAACATGGCTCCTACAAATACCTTTAAGAATTTGACGCATCAGAATTTCCCAACTTTAGGTTCCTGGAACATATCTACTTCTCTATTAGCCAAAAATGTGTTTAGCTATCCTACCCCGGGTACCATATCTCGTGGTTGGCTCAATGGACTACGCACAATTTTTTAACGGTTGTAGACCTTCTGGTTCTCTGACAATAAAAAATCTTTTCTCAATAAATAGAGAGCTTGAGAAGCTTTGAACATGATGGGATTGTAAAAGAGATTGTTTCATCGTGCAATGGGTATGAATGATATGGATGCTACCACTTACTGTTACTATGGTCTATTATACAAATACACTGCTGGATGATTTTAGAAGCATTTTCCAGCATATGTAGAAAGTATTTCAGTACTTTTTAAATTTACACACTCTACAAAATAATTACGATCCATTACAGAGATTAAGATGAATTAGCAGTTAATTAACGGCCAAATTACAGGTCAATAAACTTTTTCGAAAACAGATTTCATTGTAAATTATTAAGTGTAGAGAATGACCTTTCTGGTCTCAACCAACATACATATACATACACATGTATATGCATATACGCACATGTGTATATATATGCGTAGATATACGCATATATTATATATATATATGTATACATAGCGTGTGTAACACACGAATATATTGTATGTGCACATTTGCGCACACATATAGACACCCACATCTACATATAAACTTACACATATGTCTATGAACAAATATATGTAAAACAGCTGCATTACCTCTTCCACGGACAATCGGACGTGTTCCACGACTAGACACGATCAGCGGGGCTGGGGCATTAGCCAATGCTGCTTGACTAGGATCTGCTGGTGAAAAAGCAACACGAGAACCCGCACTTCCCTGCAGCAGGAGAACCCTATGGGGTGGTGGATCCGATCCTTGATGTAAAGCCCTAAACAGTTGTGCATGAATTTCACTACTGACGGTTTACTTTCAAATAAAATGTGAAGGATTTTTTCCGAACCTATGCGGTGGAGGGTCGGCCTGACGCTGAATTAGTGGTGCACTGGTCATAGCATTAGGTTGTCGCTGTTGCATTAGTAGACTTGAAGCACCACTCCCTAGTCGCGTACTAGAAAAAAACTAGGTTAAGAATTTTCAGTAAAACTTTAGGAACCTTATGTGGAAGGAATACACCACACCGCGATAACTATTAAACCATGTGATCGGTGTACCACGAGTACTTCACTACATTCCTTATGAGCAAAGACAAGATGTTATTTTATTCTTTGTTCACATAAAAGCCAATGTCTCTGCAGATTTCAGCTTCATGAGTCTGGAAAGGTCAAATCTGCTGCAATCTGCCCAGCCAAACACTTGCATAACCAAATATAGAAAATATTAAACCAAGATTTCAATCGCAACGCGGTATAAAAGCATTTAGATACTCGGATAGCGCCACTTCGCTTGTTGTGTAGGTCCCAGCATAACGTCCACTTTCCCGAAATTCGCTGGTTTAGCTACTGTGGCTCCCTGAAGTCCTGACGTCAGTTTAGCCAAAGTTTGCCCCAGGTCGTCGTCATCACCACGGGCAGTCGCTGCAATTGTGGACCAGAGGAAGATGTGCGACCATGCGACTAGTTTGAGACTACGACCGTGGTGGATCCTGGTATTGGTTTACTCTTAGTTGCCTGGTGGAGGCGTTGGACACTTGGGCTTGGGGGCTTGGGATACCTTGCCGGGGGAATGAATCTCCCCGTTGTACACAGCCCGAAACCCATGAACACCTCTCAGCCACGATGAGGCGATAAACCGTAGCGAAGGGTATAAAAGTAACAGTAAAGAATAAAGCAACTGATATCTGATCAATACCGAGGTTAATAGAAAGTCGGACGTGGGCATTGCCATGAATAACTACTTCATGTAACATAGCGTGGTTTAGAAATGTCTTTCAGCATTCAAACACATACCCCTGAGGTCTCATATGCGTCGGGGAAGACACGATTCTAGGAGCAGTCCGTTTTTGTTGAATCACTGATGGACTGGACATTGAGGCACTAGTCATAACTCTTCGAGTCACTGGCGCTGTATTATAACCAGCAACGATGAAATGTTGCTGTTGGTGTTGTGGAAGAGGCGGCAAACTACGATCTTGAGAAACTGAAAAGATGAACTAAAAGATGCTAAATTAAATCCAATTTGAAAACAAACGCTGCTAATTACTTTGTACGCTCCGGTATCCGGACGAAGCATGGATACCTGGCCGCGAAGAGCGAGCTAAGTAAGTGCCTTGTCCTTCTGCAGTCCGATAAATACCATCACGAACATTTGAAGGTGGCCTGCATCAGATTTACGGTACGCATTTCTCGGAACATTCACTATTAATGCTTATGACATTAGTTTATAAAACTAGCTGAGAGAAACGCAAAGCATGGGCCTCAGTGTTGTATTGTGTAACGTGCAAGCACCCAGGAGGTGTAATCGTAGTTCGATCTGACCCGGAGTCCAAGTTTTGCGAATATCTCAGCATCGTTGTAGCTATGATACCATTGTTACTAATTTTGGAGAACAACGTATCAATGAGACCAGGTTGCATTATGTGTACACTAACCTGCACATAAAACAGTGAATTTCAAGGATATTAAACAAATGACTACAACTTATATCAGCTTTACGACTACAAGCTGACTTCGACGTTCACTTTGTGATTTCAGCGATTTCAGTGCAAACGAAGAAATAATCCACGGAAACATAGGGATCAAAAGACGGACCTATTAATGATATTTGGCTCCCGTTGTTCATAACCAACTTGAGAGGTCGTAAATGTTCGGCTTTGCACCACATGTTGATCACTAGCTATCTCCAGACCATCGGATATTAAGCCAACTAAACTTGTGGACTGTTACAGAACACGTCACATTAACGTCGGAACACTTATGTGGTTTAACAACCTCAACTCTCATTGCAAAAAAGAATGCCACGCAAAAAGGCATAAAAACGCGATAAACCTTGTATCTTTATATTTACGAGAGATACAGTCACTCTGACATCCCTTGCCCAAAACCATCCCAAAAATCAAAGACGATGAGATCTTACTATTTAAAACTAAAAATGACTCGCAGAAGTAAACTACCGAAGCAAAAAATAAAAACAGAAATGCGCAAACGGCATGACAACTATGGTAAGATAACGATGCACGACTCAATACTCACGTTCAGAAAGCCCAGGAATCAATGGAAACACTTCCGATGACTTCATTTCATCCACGGGGTTCAAATTATATGAGACAGCGTAGTCATGATCCTGAAGGAAAGACATATCAAATCAAGACAGTAGCTGACACAGGAGTAAAGATAGAATCAAAACCAAAACAGAACACTGACAAAGCCATAACCATTAGTGACTTACTCCCATGTAAATCCTCTCATCTGGCTTACTAGAATCCAATTCGTCATCTTCAGTATCCGTAACGTCATCATCAGAATCAGCAATGACAAATCTCTTCACAGGTGTCGAACCAGTATTCAACACCGACTCGCCATACGAAGTAGGCACATCATTTGCGATTCCCTCAACTTCGTTCGGAGACATGTTGTCATAGGACTCTCGCTCGATCTCAGGTGTTTCAGATTCAGGTCCAGCTTTAAAATTCATGATGTTTAGGATGCCATTTTGTTTGCTAAGAATCATGTGGGTAGTAAAAGTTCCGGAAAATCCGAAGTATACATGAATCCAACACGACTTTTCTACTCAAAATGTACGACCTATCATACAAAGCTTCTTCAAAACCAACCTACGAAGGAGTCAGCAGGCTTTTGAGACGAGCTAACAGGAGACTCTTCAGTGGGGGATTCTTCACAATTGCTAGACATCGCAGTTATTTCTTAAAAATTCACATCGATAACGAGCCGCAGCCTCATCTACCGCAATGGTTGCATGCAAATCCTGAAACAGGGATGGTATCTCATTTTATCTGTGGCTACAGGATGACCAACATTTTGTGGCAAAGAAAGACAAGCGACCAAAACCCTCAGAAACATTGTTGAATTAGTACGATACGGTAGCCATGGAAAAACCCCATAGCACGAAAGATAGCACGGAAAAGTTCGCGAACGAACCCACTCCTGGAAGCAAACATCGCGAGCGACCACCCAATCCTGAGATAGCGCGATCCCCGAGGACCGGCCACTTAAATATTGTAGACGACTCACGATATGAAGCAAAACACAACACCCTGTCGTCGGGAAACCACAAGAACCTCCACAACTTTCCGAAGACTTGATAACGTTTGCGAAGAAAAGAAAGGAAAACACGAGCGGATCAGCGACACGCCACGCTGCGCGCTGCGTCGCGGGCGCATCGGTTGGCATTGTGCCAGCGCAGACGCAAACAGCGCAACGCCCCGCAAAAACACGACGTACGAAACACGCCACACGCCACATAATTTACGCCTAAGGTGCGCTGGCAAATTGCCAGCAGCGTCGTGTCGGCGGCTGCACCTAGGCTTTTGTAGTATCCCCACGGAGGTGAGAAAGGTGTGCTGATTCTCTCGCATATACCTGTGAAGACGTTCTGTCAAAGCGCTGCAGTACAGGACTGCCAGCAAGACTAGCAGTGACTTATTCCGCATCGGCGCCGCTGTCTGTGGCTGACCCAATCCAGTACGAGTTTTTCGTCAGCCGCAGACGCTGGTTTCCTGAAAATGAGTAGTGTTTTCTCTGTAATTCGAGGACGTGAGGGGTTCTGAATATGACGGGATTGCAGAAGAGGATGTCCTCTGTCGTTCTGTGCGTACGAATTAGAGTGGTCCATGTTGCAAATGCATTGTTGTCGGCAGTTAGTACTTCTCAGTCTGTGTAGAATCTGTTTCGGTACTTCCATATCCACACATGCTGTGCAATAAGCGTAGCGATTAGTAGCTTAAAAAGTCGACTTTCTATATAGCTCGGCATAATAATATATTTGCAAATATGTCCTTACGAACAGCTCTTTTCTAGCCGACGCGAGATTGGTATCGACGTTACATCGTTGTTGTTCCCTTCAATGGTTGATTTTTCGGCGACTTGGCTTTCTTCAAAGCCGTGCCGTTGGACCACTCGTGTGGTGTTCACGCTCGATATCCATCGACTCATCAACTCTCGTGAAGAATACACGGGTGGTCCAACGGCTAGGCTGTGAGGAAGGCGAAGTCGCCGAAACGGCAGCCATTGGACAAAGACAACAACAATAATAAGAACATCTATACCAACTTCGCTTCGGCTAAAAAGCGGCAGTTCTTAAGAACATAGCGATTAAGATGTAGTAACCATAGATTGTGGGTCAATTTACATTTTCGGAAAAAATGTTTCGTAAATCATTCGGTGTAGATAGAGAACGGCTCTCCTGATCTCATCGCTCTATTTCTGATCTGCTTTCAACTAGCTATCGAGTGAGTATGCGTGGTGGGGTAGAGAAAGAACTCTGGAACCCACTATACTGGCATGCGGGGCGGAATAGGTCAAAGTGAAAAACCCGTCGCTCGTGACCCAACGTTTGCAGGATTAACTGCTCTGGAAGCATTTCGTTATGTACCATCATCTTATGACGTTACAACGATCACCTTACATTGATATGTTGTTATACTTTTAGCTGAGTTAAACTCCTTCCAGAGAGCCCAACACTTCGTTCAGTTCAGATGCAAGTCTCTTCCATCAATGATGTGCTGATCTATAACTTGAGTTCTGGGAAAAGCATCCCAGAGGTAAGTGTCTATATCTTGCTTGTTTTTGTAAATTCTGTCGGAAATTAGGAGATTAAGAGGATAATCGTGCTTATTTGTAGTGGATGAACACAGAAGCGAGAAGGAGGGCAGAGCGGCGAAGTATTGGTAAGCATTGTTTGAGCTTAATAATGCTTTTTGTGGATATTTCAGACATGGTCGTTAGAAGGGTCTTTTTAACGGAAATCTTTTTATATCGTTTATGCAGACGTACGAAGACGTGTACAGCTCATCCAAGACTTCGAAATGCCCGATGTTAGCCATACCGTTAACGTTTCGCAAGACGGGAGATATGTTTTCGCAACAGGTTCGTTCACATTTTCTTTTTGGCCCGTTGTGGGATATGTTGACGCACTAACCTCATAGAAATCAAAGGCAGAGGATAAAAGCTTGCTTCTTGAATTCCATTTCATCATTATAATGCAGGGCGCGTGTTGCGCAGTGGTCGGAGGTGCCCTGAAACACACGTGGGATCGATCCCCGCACCCCTGGCCCACCAAGCCCTCCATCCCTCCGCGGTCGGGAAATTTGTACCAGACTTGTTTGCGAGAATAGCAGCACTCGCTCGATGCATCGGTAGGCCACCTCGTGTCATTTTGAAGGCCAGATATGCATTCAATCACTTCCGAAACGATGCTTAATGGGATCGGATGCATGGCGCATTGCTCAGGGATTGATCAACGCCGAGAGCTTTATCCTTTATACATCATAACATATCGTACGGTCAGTTTTTTAATGTTTGGGGCGTTGTGTTGTTGAACTGAAAATATCGTTCGTTATTTATTGAATGTCATCTTTAGGTTGCTATAAGTCATGGTTGAAGTGCTACGACTTAGAAAATTTGTCCTTGAAGTTTCAAAGAGGACTAGATGCTGCCGTCATTAAACTGATTTCGTTAGGTGACGACTACTCCAAGGTATCCGATTTAGGAGCATGCTTTTTCTTTCTGTTCAGTCATTTTCGTTTTCGTTTGAGATTATTCTTCTTGAAGAGGATCGCTTCCTCGAGATGCATGCTGCCTTCGGAAGATACTTTCGTATGCGTATGCCTAGATTTGGAAGAGATATGGCCTATTCGATCGAGCGCAGTGATCTTCATCTTGTTGGAGCAAGGTAGACCCTCAGCATCCTCGTTCTTGAAGTTCACTGTGAAATGTGTTTAATTTCTAGTAGCGAGGTATATCGTTTGAATTTGGAACTAGGAGAGTGGCTTTCTCCACTTCAGACAAATGGAAGTGCTTTAAATTGCTGTAAGTTTGCACAAGCCCACCAGTTATTTGTATGTGGTGAGTTTATCCCATCTCTTGTTTGTCTTTGACATGAAAGTGTTGTTTTTCATTAGTAGGGGTCTGTTTTTTCAGGAACCACAGATGGTCAATTAGAGGCATGGGATCATCGAGACAGGTCAAGGGTTGGAGTTCTTGACTGCATGCCATATTTGCAAGAAGAAACCAGGTATATTTTGTCCGGTAATCTCATCATCGATTGAGTGACTTATCGACGGTGTGCATTGTTGTCAACGCATTCATGGGAAGGGTCGGATGGCATGCGTTCTTTTCAGTGCTTCTTTACGGTTACATCACAATGTGTTCGAAGCATGAGTCTTCTTCGTTTAAGGAGAAGCATAGAGCAGGTTTTGTAACGGCAGTTTCATAGATCTTCATTCAATGCATCTACCAGGCCTCTCCATATTTCCAAGGTTCTTTAAATGAGAAACAGACTGTTAACTAGCTACCGATGCTTAATAAAGCCGAATGCTTGGCGTATCGCTCAGGGATTGATCAGCATCGAGAGCTTTATCTTTTTTTGCCGTTCATTGTTGAATCAAGTCTGCGTGCAGTCTCTTGATTAACAAGTGCATTGTTTTTATTACTCTCATCGTTTTTGACTACTTTAACTTTTCAGCCTTAATAAATTATTATTTAGTGGAAAAGTAGAGATCACCTCATTGAATTTTCGAGATGCCTTGTGTCTTGGAGTCGGAACTAGCAGCGGTCATGTGAGTTCAATATCGTTGGAAAATTGTCAGTGTACGGTAGAATAGTAAACTAGTATACCACGACTTAGGATTTGTGCATTCACGCTGATATTCTATAAATGTGTTTTCTTCAGGTAATGCTATACGACATTCGGTCCAGAAAGCCACTCATGGTAAAAGATCACTTCAATGGTCTACCTATCAAGAGGATTGATTTCGCTTCAAGGTTTTTAAACCATTCTGTAGAACTATTTAGTAATTCGAAGGGCTTGATAGAGGGGAGTGTTCCGGAGAAAGCAGCTAACGGAAAATGTATAGCCAGGTTTCTGATAGTTTTCACTTTATCGTGATCTTGATGTTTATCTTTCCTCGCACATATGCTTTAGAGATACATATTTGTTCTGAATTATTGTCATTGCAAAGGCTATCTGATTAAGGGGATGTGAGGATCTCGTTTTGAGTATGGACAGTCGTATCCTTAAGATTTGGAATGCAGTTGAAGGGAAACCGTTCGCAGCTATCGAAACAGACTGTGCATTGAATGATTTTTGCCGTTATTTCGACTCAGGTATTATAACTTTGACTAGAGTGGTTGTATGATCGAAAACAAATCTCTTTCAGGTTCAGACCTTCTCTTTGAAATAAACATCCAAATTTAGGCCTAATTTTTTTCGCGAACGAAGGATCTCGTTTGCAACAATTCTTCATCCCTGCTCTCGGTACCGCCCCAAAATGGTGTCATTATCTGGAGACAATAACGGAGGAGTTGGAAGAGAGCCAGTCTGCATCGTGTTCGTTTATTTTATAGCGTTATGGCTTTCCATCGATGTTTAACAATTGCGTGACGTTTTTCTTCCAGTATATGACGATTATAAATTCGTCACGAAGGAAGAACTGGATAAGTTAGGTCTCTCTAACCTCATTGGAACTTCGGTATTGAGAGCCTATATGCACGGATACTTCTTGGACCGAAGACTTTACGATAAGGCGCAACTTATGAATCAACCGGATGCTTATGAAAAATACGTGAACAGAAAGGTTGGTTTTCGTCATGTATCTGCTCGCCTAGATATTCGTATAAATGAGAAGTATCTTTAGATTCATAATCTCGTACACCAGGAGAGGGAACGCAAAGTTATCAATCACCAGGCAGAGATGCAGCAACCTAAAGTACGTTGTCACCTGTGTCACCAACAATATTGGTGGCGAGTTTAGTGTTAATCACCAACGAACTAAATGGCAGCTCTAATACATCTTTGATTACATTGTTAACTCTTGTACCATGTTTTCCTTTAGGTAAATAAAGAGTTGGCGAGTCGCTTGCGAGCCGAAGCAGCGTCGGAAGGTTCTGTCAGAAATCTGAATAAGAAAAAGAAGAATGGGAAGTTGAAGGTTTCTTTTTCTTTTGGATGTTTCTTACTATTACTTCCACAAAAAAGTCTGGTAGTTTTTAAGGCTATCAGTGCATCAGCAATTCTCGAAGACGGACGTTTCAAGAAGTTATTTGACAATCAAGATTTCGAGGTAGCTAATATTGTTAAAAGTTCTTTCAATATTAGATGTAATATTGCGTTTTCTGTACAATTCGATCTTCCAATTTTATTCAGGATAAGAGTCATGAAAGGCGTTTTTTATGATGTGTAAAATAGCTTCGACCTTCATCAATATCGTAAGGATGTTCGCATTTTTGTTCCATTTCTGGGATGGTGACGTAGTCATTGCCAGTTTTTTTGGAACAATAATGCTTTAAAAAACTAGCTGAGAGGAAGTTGAAACGAGCGACGCGCATGGTGTGGTGGTGAACGTGTTAGCCCCTAGAAAGGGTAATAGCGCTTTCGTTCCCCATAGCAGACACCAAGGGCCTGGGGTTTTGCAAATATCTCATCATTATGGTGATAATGCTTTAATTCTTCGTGAAGAAACCGTTAATTACCATCGAGTATAGGGGCAATGTGTTCATCTCCTCTATAGTATGTGGGAACAACGAGAATGTGTGTGTGTTGAGAAGTATGTATAACAGTCGTACTTATCATCTTAACAGTTAAGGCTTTGTATTGTGTTTCAGATAGACCAGCACTGTGACCAGTTTAAAAGAAATGCTCTACTCAAGCAGAAGGAAAGTTCTGTAAACGTTAGTGTACCGTCACATGAAGAGGATCTCGACGAGGAGGTGATATAATTTCTTTAACTCGGTAGCAGAAAAGATAACTGATATGTTTAAGCTCAAAGACATAAGCTTTAATGAGCATTGGAGCAGGTTGTATTCGAACAAATCTTATTCATTCTTTTAGTGTTTTCTGAACAGCTTCTATGCAGTCTATTCAGAATGAAGTGGAGATGTCCGGGCCGTCGCTGACTGATACCAGCGAATATATTTCACATCGAGGGCAACATATGGCCATTAACAGCTCTGATGGTGAATTGGATGAGACACTAAATGAGAAGATTAAGTTGAAAAGAGACAAACTTCGACAAAAGGCAGAGTCTTTTAAAAGGCACCGTCAATTGTTTGAAGAAAAAATGATGATCAGGGAGACGGAGCTGTGAGTTTGCTACTCTTTTTGTCTCATATTTGATTTAATAATCAGACCTTGCTTAGGGCTGCACGTCTAGTCAATAAACCGAAGAAGTTTGTTCTTCATGAATTCGATTCAACAGAGAGTGCTCAAGAATTCCTCAGTCAACACACTAAAGAAGTTGACGGTTCTGAGGTTTGACTTTTTGGGATTATTTCAATTGTTTCATTCTATGTTCCGAGTTGTATATGTGAAAAGCAAGAAAAGTTTCGAAAGAAGCTGATGAACGCGCTTCTGCAAGGCTTCGTAACATCACAGCATTTCCAGGATTCCTCGAGTTTAGCTGCAAGGAAGTTAGTAATGCAACAACGGAGCGAGTTTGAAAAACATGAGGATGGTCTAGGAGGACGTTCCATGACATTCAACTTAGCCAAAAATGGCGCTTCAGCGAGAGAGTTCAAGGAGGTTGAAGACAGGGTATCTTTTTGTTCTATTACACCAGTTATAATGGCCATCAGCTGTTTTTATTCGCTCTTCTTGCTTACATATCGAACGTGTCTTCCAGAAAAAACACGCTAAGGAAAGAAGGACGACAGTGCGTGTTCCTACTTCTAATATCAAGCGCTCGCTCAAAAGGCTGCCTGGGAAGCTTTCTAGATTGTGAACAAATATTGTAGTCTTCATCGGTGTCATCATGCCTTATTTCTTTTTTGTTTTACAGGCACTGGTTTTTGTTTGTTTACTAGGATTGTTGCTTGTTTTTTTTTGAACTTCCCACGAATAAGATCGTTGCTCACAATTGACCGACTTCAAATTGACCTCGACACTAATAATCACCTTATCTTCACCTTACGAATTCTATGTTTATCTGACAGGGAGTTGCTAACATACATTTTTGATTTAGGATACGTCGATTTTTGCGATTTTACTTTCCTTAGAGCCTGGACACAATATTGTATGGCATGGAGTGCAGCCAGTTTGCTGCGTACGACATTGGCTTGCGCACTTTGTTTACTTTCCAATTATTGGTTAACCGATTTTGCAGCGGAGGTATTAAATCCGTCTATTGAATTGTTCCACGGGTTAGAATTAAGTGCCATAGTCGGATTATATAGACGATATTTGGTTTTTCTAAGTGTGGACGAAGAATACATTCAAGAAGTTGGGGAAAGGATGTAGCAGTGGCGAGAGAACCTTGATTTAAAAACAGATTCCGGACACTTGTCTAAACAGATTCTAAACAACTCATGTAACAATGGATTCAAATATCGAAACGTTTGTGGAATATACTCTTTTTTTTAAATCAATTTCGCGTTACCTTAATAATCGAAGAGGAATAATGGGCACTTAAATCTCCACTTGTGTTTAAGAACTGCTCATACTGGGTTGTGAAATGCAGGATTTGAAGAACAGATTGTGCCAGCTGGATAAAACTAACACATGCTCGAAAGCGTGGTAATTGTAGCGCACTGTGTGGCTACGCGTTTGAAGATGCTCGGCGATTTCGTTACTCATCTAAGCACTACTTTCAAGGAAGCCAGTTCGATTGCTAAAAGGATTCTGATCATTGTTTGTTGAAGTCTCCTATTCTGGGAAAGTCGTATGCACGTGAAAAGTTCCGCAATGTTGACTACTCTTAGCAAAACCTAGAAACCAATTTTGACGTCGTACTTCCTGACACTCATTTGAGCTAAGGCGCTAAACATTTCTACCTAGAAACCAGCTTGCAGTAATCACTTTTTGGAGTTCTCTCCAGTCAGGAAGGAAACTAGCGATAAAGTGGAGAACCACTATCAGACTTATAGGTGCCGTCGACTGCATGAGCTGCAGTCTGCAATTCCGCGCTGTTGAGGCGAAAAATTCTTGCCAAATTAGTTACATGCGAAGTAAAAGGAAAATCTTCTGAGGCCAATCTTCATGAAGATGGACCATCCAAGCGTTACGTTTCAAGTACTCACGAAGGGTCTTATGCATATTTCTTTAGATTTTTCAGCTAACGAAATGTTTTATGCATATTCGTGAACGGTTTGTAAATCCGAACTATGGAGTCCCGCGTCGACTATTTATTTGCTGCCTACTATAATTTTTCATGGCAGCGTATTACGTGAAATACCAGCATAATGATGCTCAGATATTTGCAAAACTGCGGACCTCAGGTGTCTGCGGTGGGGAACGAACGCATTATCATCCATTCCCGGGGTTAATGCGTTCACCACCACACACGTGTGTGTCCTTCGTTTCGCCTGTCTCTCAGCTGTACTATGCAAATGTGCTGAATAATGGAGTATCATTCGACAATTGGCCGGTCAACATAAGCCAGCTAGCACAGTGTTCTTTCGGCGTTTTGGGGGAGTGGACATGTGAGCAGTAACTTGGGAAAAATAAATGATAGAGTATATTTTGGGTACTGCAAGTAATTATAGAAAGCAAATTCACATTCATTATACTGTAATGGTGGCTGTGATCGTTGCACCAGTGTTGTAATGACCGTTACACCATTTATTACTTAGTAGTAGTCCAATAGTGGAATAATCAGTAGAATTGAATATCAGATAGTGTACAGATTGGTAATTAATCTTTGCTGTCTCTGTTTCACTCTCGAAGGTGTACTTGTGTCGTTATTTTACTATTTGACAGTTCTTTAAGATGTAGGTATTTAACCCTTGACGTTTAAGAGGCTCTGATTGTGAGTCAATAAATAGAAACTGTAGCTTTATGGTGCTACAAATGATCTGTAGGCTGTAGTTGCCAGATGGACTCACTAAGCTGGGTTCTGAATATGGATGCTGGGGTCGTTTTGCTCTTTTGAATGCCAACGGTGTTGAACTGCTTGCAAGAATGAACCTGTATCTCCTCGTTTGTTGCCCCGTTGATCTCGTGATTGTTGGTATGGAACAGAGGTTTCATGAGAGGGTGAACGGAAATCCCGAGCGGCAGCAAAGCCATCGTGTGAGCCTAACCAAACATCTATACCTTGCTCGGCGACAAGCAGATCTGTTGACCTCTGGATCGTCCTCGTATATCACTATAGCAGTGGCAAATGCTTTGTATAACGGCATATGCAATATTCTTTTCTATCTGATATTGATGGTGCTGGATATTGGCGGTTTAGGATACCGATGATGTACGATATTGTTGATATTTATACATCCCTTGATTTAGACGCCCGCGCCGTTTGCGAACAACTGCTTTTTACAGTGGGCGACCCACTATAGTTGTTGTTGTTGCGACATTTATTCTCAGGTTTGAATTAAATGCTAGTAAATCATAATGTTGCCGAGAGATGAGCAAAACTCGAACATCAGCTGAGCTTCGAACACCAGATTACCCTATACAAGGGTTTAAGTATATACCACATCAACCCAACCCCTTGCTTTGCCTTTCTGTCAGCCATGTTTTAAATCTATCGGTGCTATCAGCAGTAATTCATCAAAGATAGTGATCTGGGAAACACAAATTGTGATGGATAGTGATGCATTCCATGAGGAAGAAAGGTGTTGGTTTGACCCACTTCCTAATGCTCTTCTCCAATCCACTTGTGAACGCCTTACCTCGTCTATTTGCAAGATTACAAGGAGAACCGACTCAATCGGTGTTCTACGACATTCTTAAGAAAAGAAAACAAAATCCTCAAATAGCAACTGAAACAAGCGTGCATGTTCAAGGACCATAATGGACGATGAATATAAATCGACTCGAATGAAAGAAGTGCTGCAATCCACAAAGTAGAAATGACGACGTGTCATGAAAGAAAACACAAAAATAAACTAGCTTTGATCTAATCGAATTGCCATTGTAAGTGTAATTTCTTGTGTCCGCAAAACGTTTACAAAAGGAGGCAATGATCAGATTTCTAAGAAGATTAGAATAGAATTGACATATCAGCTCTCCAGCGGCCTTAACTGGTAGTGGACATGTACTGTTCTGTTATTGGATTATCTCGATTGTTTAGTACCAATTTGGACTTGAACTGGGCCTTCATGGGTTAGTCTGGTACCAGTTCAGTTACACGCAGAAGTTAACAGCTTCGTAAAGCGCAACTAGGAACACACACGAAACAATAGCTGACGCTTCGGCGATTTCGCCTTCTTCAGAGCCGCTTATTGTTGTAAGTACTTAAGTTAGTTG